GTTATACATTTGAGACTGATTGGTTTCTATTAGGATATTCGAGTTACATGTAAGTGGAAAAACCTATTAAAGTAATAACAGTTATAAATGTTATGTATGCGTGAAAATTATGTGAATACATACATTATTACTGTTGTACGCATCTATGCAAATATGTATGTCTTAACATTTACCTTATGAACGTACAACTTTTGTTAAAAAAATACAAGAAATTCCGAAATATTAATAATAATCCGAGAAAAATGGACAGACATTAAATTAGATAAGGAGTAAAGTAGATAAACAATTTCATAGTGGGGCAGCTTCGTTATATCGTGGTATTCGATTAATTCGATAATTTAAATATTAAATGTTATACTAGCTACTAGCGATGTAATTCTTACTGTAAAAATTCAGTGATTGAATACAATATGATGCAATTACAAGTTATCCGATGTCATTTAAAATATACCTTCTGCTTTTGTATTGAAACATTATCATGGGCAAACGCTCAAACTACATATCTCTCATTATCACAATGCAGAATCATCGAAAATAATTAATTATGACATAATTAGAATAAAGAACATTTAACCAAGTTCATAGAATTGTTCAAGAAAGTTTTCTGCATTAATCGAAGTAATAAATTCTCCTGAACAATACTATGGCCCTGGTTTATTGTGAATAACCAAACATTATCTTTAAAAAAAGGTGCAAAAAAAGGGGTTTGACGAGAATAAAACCCTTACATTTTTATTTTTTTAATCTGGAAGTAGAGCGAACAAACCAGACGTTTATGTTAATAGACCACGAACGCACATACTTCTTTCGAGTACGTTAGCGCCCACTCGTTAAATCCACTGATGAAATATTTCAATCGGCCAGCTTATATAGAAAAGATACTTCATGAAAGTACTAGCGAGAAACTGCTCGATACGCCAATAGCCCTCTATGAAGGATGTTTAGATTAGACGGAGATACCTTAATACATGTGTAAAAAGGTATGTAAACGAATAACTGCGACAGAAGTGTTTTCAAAAAAGATTTATAAAGCGATTTTATATAAATGAACACATTCATGTTACATTTTTATACAATAATTGTGTATTAGCAGAATAAAAATTAAAAATCTCTCGCGACGCGACTTCTACCCCTATTCCATTGTGGTAATTCGCTCTTGATACCAAGGATCGGTAATGTACAGTGCGACATGATTTACTGTTGTTTAATCACAAAATATCAAATGGCCAGACTCATCAGTCGAATAAAAACAGCTTGGCACGGAACGTGTTAAGATCTCCGAAAGAGGCGCGACCATCGCTAAATTCAGCCAAAATTTCACTTTGTCCACAACGATTAATTAATTTGCCTAATAAATGTGTATATTAATTAATTTCTTACAGCACTTAACATGTATTTAGTAACGCATCCCTAAATGTACAATACAGACGAAGATATTTTATTACGAAAGAATGAAAACTCTATATTTTCTACCGTATTTCACGTAATATGCAAAGTTAAGGAACAGGACTTCGTAATAATTAAGAAGAACAAGAAGGGTCAGCTATTATCGAATGATATTGGTTTTGTTATAAACAATAAACAAAATTTCTTTAAAAATGTACAAACAGGTGCGTTCTATGTATTGTTACATGCAAATGGGACCTGATGGCTAATGCATTCTATCCTCCCACCATATGCATCGCCCCGCCCAAATACAATTTGTAACGTAACAGATTCCAATGCATCCAGTGATAGGAGTTATCCAGTTGAGTTTCTCGTACTACTTCTAATAGTGAACAGTCAGGGCTATTTTATATTTAATATATATTAACGCTAATTCTACTAATATTTGAAATAAAAGCTTAAGGAAAAACAGGAATTGTTGAACGGTACGTAACATATGAGTATGTTGATTATATTAACCCATCTGAGATTCTCAGAGCTACTATTTATACTTTACAAACCATTCACAATATTTCAATTACATTCGGTTAATTATGATAAGAATCATTTACTGGTCTACAATATAAGAACCACGCGTACGCAGTATTTAAAGAATTAAGCAAAATTTCATAATGTTGACCTCACGCCACGCCTTCGGTTCTCTCAGCACGAATGACGCCAAATTGCGACCCTTTTAAATAAGTCGTCTTACAGTTACCAAATAAATGCGACACGTTAGTAATTCAAATTTCGGTTAATCGCATGCTTTTGGTAAACGAATAAATCCGTAAAATTCTTAAAAAGTGTATGTACATAAGGTGAAACTATCTTTGTCTTTTTCAGAAGTTACTCAGTCTAAAAATTTATAAAAATGTCCATTCTAGACGAGCGAGAGGATTACCTGAAGAATCCCTTCTTCGTAAAGCACGAGTATGGTGATTTCACACCGTTTTACGTCACTGTGACTATCTGTTCTCTGGTATTCGTGATCCTGTGTATTTTGAATATTGGATTTTGTTTCTGTTCTCGACACAGAGACTACTGGCAGAGTCCCTTCACCGGTAAGTCTTGGATAATCTGTTCTCATTAACGTTAGCATCCTTTCGTTACATCGATTAATTCTGTGGACAGGAAACAGGTGGATTCAGCCATTGTTCACAGTATTACCGCACAAATCGCCTCCTCTGGATATAAGCGAATTGGAACCAGGACATATAATACAGCCAGAGAAACAGGTTCTGCAATACCATAATCCCAAATTGCTCGGATCTGCGCCACAATCTCAAGAAAACATGGAAATGCAGAAGCGAGAGAGCGAAATCTAATCGTATATCGAATGGGAGAAGCTTAGATGCTAGATCTGATGTTATGCGCACAAGTAAACACGCAACATTTTACTAACGTATTAGTCATAAGCATCGCATCTTTAGCAGTGTCAGACCGATTAACACTTTATATAGCCAAAGTTTAAAAACACGTGTACCAGATACACAGGGTAAAACTGTAAATTTTCGGAGATTGGTTTAAGCCAGGAGTCAAGATGGGATTGCACATATTTTGGCCAGCAACGACGTGCTTGACTCTATTCGTAGTTTGCATTATTATAGTCATGCTGAAGTATGGGTCGCGGATCTGTAAATTGCGACATACCCCCGTGCCGTCCGACCAGGAATGGGAAGGGAAAGCGTACTCCAGAAAACTTTCTGTTTCCATGGCGTGATGTCAACGAGTATCACCGCATGTTTTCATCCACAATTTCTGCCGTGCAGTGAAACTAATGAAAGCTTGAATCTCACAGAATGTACAGGATGTTCCCTATAACTGGGGTATACTCTACCAGTTTTTCCACAATTTGAAGATACAGCTTTTCCCAGTTGTGCGAAACATCCTGTACATACACGACGTTCGTACGAAACTTTATAAATGTTTGCGCAATTAGTATTACTCGAGTTTAAAACAGCATCATTGCCACAGAGATCAACGTATCATTAGACTGTGGATTTTACACGTTTATAACAAAAAATGAGTAAATGCAATTTAAATCGACGCGCGCGCGCGGAAAGAACGAAAGAATTTTTTGGCAAATGTTTCTACCAATCGATGGGGAAAAATTGTATTTTGCACGACGATCCACAGCCTACACATTATAATATGACTTTTATACAACACTTTTTGTATACGTAGAATAAGTAGTACTATCCATTCCGTCCAGAGGTGGTCGAAACCTCGTCACGATCTGCCTTATCTTCTACTGCGACGTGCCAGTAGATATATTTAAATGTCTAGAAAATTTGTTAATAATTTGTTTTGTATTCCGTGACAAGAAATAGGAATAATTCGTCCAACTTTTTAAACATTTGATATTATTCGTGTAACAATACTTTCATGGTGGAAGTTTTGTAATTTTGATAAATGTTTTTTAACAAATAAATATGCTTCTCTTTATACAGAGCGCACCCTGCGAGTTTTATGCTACATTTTATCGAAACGATTCTCGGCACGACACCAATGAACAATTGGGAGAAATTGATCCCCTGCGAGGATGGGTTAATCGGGTTAATTAGCCGGGTCAGGATCGGCGCGCCCGCAACAAACTGTAACAACAGAGGTAAAAGCCGTGGGTCGTTTTGTATATAATATTTAGTTTTTATTGACAACATTGGATTTTTATTACATGTGTAACGGTTACACAATTATTTAATAAGTAAGTAGATACATTATACAACTTCTGCGCTCAGTAATAACGTCAGCTTGTAAATAAATCGCTGACGATTTTCCACGAACTACGAGATATTTGATTTAGGAAATGTTTATTTGATTCGATTGCCTAGCCAACTAAAACCTCAGCTTTACATTCTATCAAGACATCCGCTTCCCATCCTTCGATCGACCAATCACCGCGCCGCATCGCCTATTGATTTTTACTTTTACTTTTTGATCCGATGCAAGTGATACATATAAAGAAAAGCTCCCGAACGGAGAAACGGTACAATACTTCGCCTCGCGACGATCCGATTCCGTCAACGAATTTCTACCGTTCGACGGGACCGATTCGCTTACAGCCTGACCGTTGTAAATGCATTTTTGATTATTACAAACTGTATAATTTCAGCGAGCAAAGCGATTTCATTTCAATTTCCAAAAAGAGAACAAATTTTAATCGCTTCCCCGCGTTCGAAAGACGGTTATATCATTGTAAATCGGTCGCGTTGTTTTCAAATCTTCTATCGGTACAATCTGCTATGTTACAATGCAGTTAAAACACGGAGAGAACTTCCATCGAGTTCCACACACAGAGAGAGAGGTGAAGCACAGGTTTATTAATTACGCTTAATAGACGTTTAATGATAGCAATTAGAAGAGACCATAGAACGTAGACAATGCTAATCTTAGCCTATCGATAGATTCGTTTTTTATTTTTCCATTGTTTCCTTTTAATGCGTAATGATGATATGGTGTTACATATGTAATCTAGCCTACGATCGACCAATCACCATCGCATCCTCGTATCCTTCTTTATTTATCCGATAAATAATTCAATACCAATACAGAAAGGTCCAATTAGAATGGCCACCCGGTGTATCTTTGCTACTTTCGAATATCGTAAAATACACGGAGAAACAGTTGTTATTTAACGCCGTAAGGCCACAAATACAGTCGAGAGAAACCGTCCGACTGTCTTTCGTCCTTTGCTTTTTTTTTTATTTATATCTTTTATCTTCTTTTATTTTTTACTTTTCACGTTTCGTTCGTTAAGCATTTCCGATTTGTCATTCAAGATGGCGGAGATAGATTAGGTGAACGCGTCAATTGGAACAGGCTGTACTCGGATGCATTCGTGCAAGGTCGACATCAGAATCTGTACCAGCTGACCTTATTCATCGAATTTTTCCTCTCTGTATACATCTAGACTTAAAAACAAATACAATCTTGTATCCGGGGAAAGGGTTTGATTTCTATAGTTTCAATGGAACGTCTCGTGGGACCGGGACCCAACCGTTACCCGATTAGGCGGCCGGCTCGACGAGCACGCTTGAGACTCTGCGTTATGTTAATTTGATTTTCATGCTCATTCGGCTTTCGTTATTAGTTTACGTTTTCCATTCAGAGATAATACGAGACACATATAACAACTGTATACATCGACGTTTCCTTAGATTTCTCATATTTTGTCTTTCTCTTCTTACGCGAAGGGTTCACGCTTTTACGCTTACGTCTTGTCGAAGAAGGATCGTTAGTACAATATCGGAGAAACGGTATTAATTAATCGAATCAATGCTTATCGTGTAATGCATCCGGTTCCCAAACTCGGGGACTCGGCGTTTGCTCCAATGAAAAATGAACGAATTCGCGTGTTCCAACGACAGGATTCCGCAAACGCGACCGACTCCCCGGTAACATTTTCGTCGAATTCCTGATTCGTCTCTGTTCGTCGTATCGTTGGCACGTCGTTGAAATCACGGTCGAATGATACAGAAAGATCCGAGAGGTTTGGAAACCGTTGATAGAAGACATAGTTTAACATCGAACACTGTATATTACTTATAGGAGAGGATATACGGTCGATTGTAAAATTCAGCGCGCACCGATGTGCGAGAACACGCTTATTTGTACAAGGTACAAGAAGAAACGTTGGAACGCTTCGACGAAATCGGTACGCTACGCGTTATTGTATTCGGATTCGATTAAACGTATACGCAAGTACAATAATGTTTCTTTAATTGACGCTCGGATTGCGCACAAAAATGGACGATATGGGAGGAGGCGATACGATTATTCGAACCTTGCGGTTGATTTTTATAGTTATATAAATTGTCCACAATTATAAAAACGAACCGCGAGGCTCGAATAATCGTATCTCCTCTTCCCAAATTATCCAATTTAGTGGACAATCTGAGCGTCGGTAAGGGGGACATTACTGTATTGATTGAAAACACGGCGAAACGCGCCGGTCTCGTTACAAACACAAGCATGTTAACGGAAAAGAAATTGTCTTTCAGAAGCGGAAACAAGATAGAATGTTCTTTTAGTCGGCCCGATCTTTTCCGGAGACCGTGAAAATTTCTTCTTGCGTAGGAGTGCAGGCTCCATTTTACAACGGACCGTATCTCTGTCCACAAACATTGTACCTGGTTTTAAGTGTAAACACAGCTAGTCGAAACATGGGAGAGCCGAACAGAGAGTCAGCCTGAACGAAAAAAATCGTACGACAGGAGAATACGTTCCGTGCGTCTAAAGTCTAAAGCTAACGGAATTCGATGAACTGAACGCGCCCGCCATCGACGCCATCGACGCCATCTTGTTGTTTTCTCGTTACAGCCGGAGGAGGTTTTCGAAAAAACAACGGAGACCGCTCGCGCTTCCTTTTCCTTTTTCTTTTTCGTCCGTCGACGTCTCGAGAGAAAGATAAAACACTATGTATTGTATTCTAATCGGGGATCGCTACCCTACGATCGATAAATCGTACAACGCTGGAGATACGAATGGGCTATCGACGATGTCTCTGCAGTCGGGAGAGAACGAACGTTCGCGTATGCCGTCGCTCTCGATCGTTGATCGGATCAATCCCGGTGCGACGCTGCACGAAAAACTGTTCCACGGTCACATTTCGACCGCAGCGTTCGAAGCCGAGAACAACGTCCACGGCTCGAAGCAACGGCTGCGCGAATCATCCCCTCTCCGCGGCTGTACATTTGATGCTAGCGAGAATATCTTTCGTACAGAATCTCAACGGCAGTCGTTTCGCGTTCATTCCTGAAACTAGGGGTTCTTTTTCGTGCGCATCGTCGAGGCAGTAGCATAGTGGGCAAAGAGAATGAACAAATCACCGTTTCAAATGCAACCAACCGGGGTCAATGTTCGTCGTATCGTATCGTATCGTATAGCTCGCATATATACACTCGAGGCTCGAGGCTCGAGGCGCGGCGCGCAGCCAAGGACCAGGACACGGTTCGAGGTTAGCATTCGAACGGAGTCGCTGTCTCCGCGTCGATTTCTCGTTCTTTTTTTATTTGTTATTTTTCTTTCTTTTTGAAGTCCTATTCGGTCCTAGTTAAACATCGATGGTACACGATCGAACACAGCGGTGTTCCCTAGACCGTATTTATATTTATCGTATTTAAGAGAATCGTGCTCGACGCCGTGCCCGTAGCCCGGCCCTCGTTTGGGCCCAAAGACACTTGTTACTCGATCGAATTGATCCTTCGAACGAGCAGATATTTAGGTATAATGCACGGTAACTACGAGAGGGTGGAGAGGGGGGGGCGGAGTATAATCGATAATTAACGACTATGCCGCTGCGTCGAGGATACGGTTTCGCTATGTTCATACGGAAATTGGTACGCAGCAATTTCAACGGTTAAGAGGCGCATTATCGGTTACAGTTATTCGGCGCGGCGCGTCGTCGGTCCAGAATTTGTTGCCAACGACGCGCCGGGTCGATAATCGGTACTCGATACCCGAGTTTACCGACGATCGGCCGTGTACCGACGAACGACGCTCCGAAATCCCGGAATATTTCTGCCGGAAATATCGCACGCTTTTTCCTTGTTGTCCTGGCAGCCTTTTTTTGGAAAATCATCTCGTCTTCGAATCGCGCGACCGCGACAGGTTTTCGTCGTTCCGGAATCGAGCGAACCGTCGTCCGCTGTTGCCCGTTCGTCTCTTTCACCGCTCGCGCTAGACAGTAGTTTCATTCTTCCTTTTTCTTTTTTTTCTTGTTGTTTTCTTCGTGGTTTTGTTTTAGTCGAAAAAGTAGAGTTGCTTCGCGTCGAAAAGACAAGATCGTGTTTTCGTTGTCTGTCGCCGAAACAGAACGTCCGGACACCACCTCGTGCAATCGATCGACGACTCTCTCCAAGCTTACTGTTTTCCCGACTTTTTGTTCGATCGTTCACCTGAAACAGATCACATACGCGTCGTGATTACGTGCGCCCGATCAGGAAATAGAATATACAGGGTGTCCCAACAATGTCTCGCAATACGGAAATGTGGGGTAGCCGAGGCCATTCTAAGTAACTTTGTCCTTTGCGAAAATGCAATCTGCGGCTTTGTTTACGAGTTATTAACGAAAAACACTGACCAATGAGAGGCGACGAATCATTCGTTGAATTCTGTTCGGACACGGACTTTGTTGATCTTCACTGTACAACCTTGCATAAAAATTTCATATGGTACAGAGGAGGTATCGTGCACACCAGAAAATTAAAACGGCTGTCACGGTTAAACTACATATTATTTCGGGTCCGAAAAATTAGTAAATATTCTTCGGACATTCTAAAGTAAAGGTGAACAGCGTTTCTCTTAAAAATATCACTTTTACGTAGTAAACAAAAATCCGGAAAGTTCACGCTTCGCGACTTGTCAAAGCCTCGTGCCGCGGGCTCTCTCGAACTTTGCGCCCTCGCCTCTCATTGGTCAGTGTTTTTCGTTAATAACTCGTGAACAAAGCCGCAGATTGCATTTTTGCAAAGGAAAAAGTTACTTAGAATGACCTCGGCTACCCCACATTTCCGTATTGCGAGACATTGTTGGGACACCTTGTAGACGACCCACGTGCGCGGGGATCGATGAAAAAAAAAGAAAAGATCTTCGACCCCTTGCGTAGGCAACCAGAATGCCAAACGTGTCGCTACGATTTCAAAGCTTCGTCTCGCACGGTCACCCGGACGGTTGCCTACGCAAGGGGCTAGCAATTTCTCACGTTCTCTCTAGATCCGATCGTCTTTCCCCTTCTTGAAAGTCCCTGCAAAAAATACCGATCACTCGTGGAAATCTGCAAAAAATGTGTTAAATCGTTGACTACAGAGTCTCGTACCGCTTCGAGGATCCAGACCACCGCGACGATTCGTAAACTGTAACTGCGTTCGAATCGGTTGAAACGCGGAATATCTTCTTGTCGCTCGACAGCCATCCGTGTACAGTGGCGCACAAAAGTGTTCGTACACCTTTCAAAAAGTGATAACTATTTCAAAACCGATCTAAAGGATTTGGTTTTTTCTTACACGAAAGAAGGACTGGTTTATTCCGATGGACGATGACTGAAATGATTTTTTTCCTTTTAATTTTGTTATTACTTGGAACGACAAACAAATAAAAATACTTACCGAGATCTACGAATGGCATTTTTTTAATATAACCTTATAGGCTCGGATAAAACAGTTAAAAGAACGACGGTTTTTAATTTTTTCTTTTCATTCCAGGTAATGGCAACAATTTAAAAAAAGTTCTTCGCGTTTTTAGCCAACAAATAGCCTTCTATCATCTAAAAAAACAAAAATTCAAGTCGTTTAATTCAGTTTTGAAAAAGTTATTATGTTTTAAAAAAGGTGTACGAACACTTTTGCGGGCCACCGTGTATATCTTGTACTGTATTGGCCGTGTCACGTTTCGTTGCCGTCGCGAACGAGAAAAAGGCACCGGTTTCCTGGTGCCGCGGGCGAGAAGAAACGGATTCGATCGAATCGCGGCTAATCCGTGGCGAATATCGATGCTGACGAGCGCGGACGAGATCGTCGGGAGAGATACGGAGGAACGCGTCCACCTTGGGCTCCAGTTTCTCTCGTCTATTCAGACACGTTTACACGGTGCATTTGCCAGTTCCTTTGTCCGTGACCCCAAGGAGACGCTTCAATAACCTATCTTTAAATCCGTCAATGCCATCGTCAAGCCTGCTTGACGAAGTCTCGGCGCTGCGACGCTGGTGTCAATCTCGAGTACAACTAGACTACAACAGGCCACTGAAGGTGCCAGACAATGGGGTTGTTGGCGTCGTTCAATACGATATCTCCGGGAACGTTCGTTTTTACGTCGTTTTTATCAACGACGAACACCGTTTTCCTTCCGTCTGTCCCGTTAAGAGGGAGACACGCGCCGCGATTTCCTTCGGAACTATCGATTCCGTGGCTCGGGTTAGGTGGCGCTCGTCACCCGTCGGATTATCCCGGCGGGATACAGGGTGTCCGAAAAATGTCTCGCAAACCGGAAACGAGAAGTTCCTGGGATCGTTTGAAGTAACTTTTACCTTAGCGAAAATGCAACTCGTGGCTTCGTTTACGAATTATTAACGAAAAACACTGACCAATGAGAGGCGAGCTCGCCCAGCGCTTGGCGGCCGAGCCAATGTGCGCGCGAAGCCCGGTTCCGCTCATTGGCTCGGCCGCCTTGCGCCAGCGTATCTCGCCTCTGATTGGTCACTCTTTTTCGTTAATAACTCGTAAACGAAGCCGTGGATCGCATTTTCGCCAAGGACAAACTTACTTCAAATTACCTCAGGAACCTTTCATTCTCGGATTGCGAGACATTTTTGGGACACCCTGTACGATGGGTATCCCAAGCTGATCGGATCGCGAGCAAGATTTGTCCCAAGCAATTCGAATAGTTCGACAAAATGTTCGAGCTGAAACCATTTTCGATGCTTTGAACGATCCAGATCCTCCGCGGCGTAGAACGAGCGGAACAGACACGCGTTGTTCTTCGCGCGTTCGTGGCTTGTGGAAATCTTCAAAAAATCCCAAGACAGAGAATGAAGTTCGTTTGGAAAAATTCACGATTGCAGGAACGTCCGCTGTCCGGCGAACCGTTCGATTAACTTTACGATAGGAATAGAAGAAAGTAGGAAGAAGAAGAAGAAGTAATGGCGATGGGGCATACTTTTAGCGCTCTTCTTGGTGTTTGTCTCCTGTTTACATCTCTTGGTGAGCCGGCGCACCTTCTCGCAGGTAGCATCGCTGTTCGCCTTCAAATTGTCCACTCTCGTCATCAGCTGATTCACGCATCCGCTCCACGTGCCCTTCTCGTACCGGCAAGCTGCGCTCCCAGCAACAGAAGGAAGGATAATCATATCGCCATAAATTCCATTTACGTTCTCATCCACCGCGGGAACGTTGCCGCGACGGCGACGGCGACGGTGACGGTGCAGCTCGCGTTACGAAACGAGACGAGGTCTCGATGAATCTTTCCGAAGATCCTCTTTAAACTCGTAATTCCGGTGAAATAGCCGCGGGCTATGAATTATTGCGTCCCTTACGCCTTGCAGAGATCCCCTGATAACGACGCGCGACGCTACATTTTCCCATAGAAACCGCTCTACTCGCAGGATCCCTCTGCGCTCGATGTTGCCAGCAAATTCTCGAATATTCCTAATCTTTCACGATGTTCGGGAGATGTTCAATTTTTCAAATAATTTATCGAACGAACGTTTGGCCTTGACGAGCGCGAGGGTAACGCGACGCGTCGAGCGTTTGTTTTGATTTCGAGTCTTCGGCGGTGCGGCGTTCGAACGGTCGAAAGAACTGCGACGCCATTAGTTTTTAACCGACGAGTGTTTTCCGGTTTTTGCCCGAGAGAGGGAGAGCAACGCCCAGTTCGCGTTTCGTTTCACAGACATTTGTGTACGTATGTTGTTCGTTACGTTTAGTCACTTTATATGATATTGCTACGGTTAGAATTGATCCACGGCTTGTACACAAGCTTGTTACCGATTGTCGACGACTGTAAAGACGCCCAAGTTGTTTATTTTCGTTTCCAAGCTGGAGGACAATTTCGGAGAATTTACTGTACACGCTGTGCTCTATAATCGTTCGGTTCGAATAAATATTTTTATTGCAAGGAATAAACTGCAACAAACGGTACGAACAATTTGGAAAAATCTGTGACCCGATTTCATTAACTGCATCCTAACCTATTTCCCTGGTAACTGGTGCCCACAGAATTCCACGCGTTCACCCCCAGGATTGAATTTTTCTCCAACCGGTTTCCTGATCTAATATTGCAAAATTCCCGAGGCGTGGTAACTTCAATCGGTTTCTAATTTCCAGGTATTTCACCGCAATTCCTATAGCAATGTCCCAGTCGCTCGTAATATTTCCCCAGAAATCACTGCTGTCTCGCGGTCCTCCGATTCGGTATCGCGAAATTCCCGACGAGTAGGCGATTTCGGTAAATCGGTAATTCGGTAATTCCGGCGTTCCTCGAACGAAAAAGCGTTCGCCCGACGTTCATCCGGGATCCGCGTTCGATAGCGACGAGTTTTTCCTGCGCGACTACCATTGTTTCTTCTTTACCCCGGTTTTCCGTTCCCGGCGTCAGACCCGCGGCTAAATTTAGCAGGAGGAACTCGATCGGCAACCGTTGAATTTATCAGGCTGATTAACCGAGGATCGTGTCGTCCGAAATCACCGATAACTGGGACACGTCGCGTCATTCTTTCGACTCGTTCAATTAATTAAGACGCTCCCGACGAAGCTGGCCCTCTCTCTAATTAACCGAGTCCATTAAACCGGGCTTCCGAAGAACGCGGACGTCCGATCGCGCCCGGATCCCTCGTGAATTTAAACTGTATTAATTAGCAGATACCAGACACACGCGTCGGGAGGAGAACGGAGAGCCCGATGTTTCGATCCCGAACGACCGACGACGATATACAGGGTGTCCCAAAAATGTCTCGCAATCCAGAAATAGCGGGCTCATCGGATCATTTGAAGCAACTTCTTCCTTTACAAAAATTTTCTGCGAGGCACCGTTATCGAGTTATTAACGAAAAACAGTGACCAATAAGAATCGAGTACGGCTGACGCGAGGCGGTCCAGCCAACTGGCGCACGAGGTCCAGTTCCGCTCATTGGCTCGGTCGCCTCGCGCCAGCCGAGCTCGCCTCTCATTGGTCACTGTTTTTCGTTAATAACTCGTTAATGGTGCCTCGGAGAAAATTTTTGCAAAGGAAAAAGTTGCTTCAAATGACCCGAGGAACCCGCCACTTTCGGATTTCGAGACATTTTTGGGACACCCTGTACGGTAACGTCTCCCTAATTGACGCTCAGATTGTCCACTAAAATGGACAATTTGGGAAGAGATACGATTATTCGAGCCTTGCAGCTCGTTCTTTATAGTTGTTGCAAATTCGTAACTATAAAAACGAACCGCAAAGCTCGAATAATCGTATCTCCTCTTTCCAAATTGTCCATTTTTGTGGAGAATTTGGGCGTCAATTAGAGAGACATTGCTGTACCCGTCGAGGGAACGATTTACCTCGGTTTTACCAAAGAGAAGCCTTTATTTTGTTAGCGACATCGCAGTCTACGAGTTACAGTTCTTAGTCAAGACTATCACGTAATAAAATTAGTCGATGATACGCGTTACACTTGGAAAGTTCCATCGTATTCGACGACAAATTTGGAAAACCAATTTGTAAACCAGCGTTTGGTGAAGCATTCCCACCGGATTCGGAAAGCGTTTACGAACGAAAGTCGAGGCATTCTATCGTGAACTCGCGGTGTTTCGTTTTCGAAAAATCGAGGCTCCACGGTCCTATTGTTAACACTATGTCGTCCGGTGGCACCACGCTGGTGCCATGCAAAAACTATCTGTTGTACGCCGGTGGCACCACTTTGGTGCCATTTAAAAAAAACTGAAATAACATTTGAACTATATTTCTTGGGCGTTAAAAGGCAGCAAACTAACTATAGCATTGTGCTTATTTAACTAAAAATTAAGTACGAAAATTCTTGGATGACATATCTTAATTTTCGTAATTTATATTATCGCCATCTTCGAAATTTTTTTTTAAAATCTAAAATTTCGAAGCTATTGCGCCGGCGTCAAACAAAAGAATCATATCTAAGATCTGCGGACGTGCATAGTGTTAAAAGAGGGAAAAGAGGGTCGAATCAGAGTTTCATACCTTTTTTGCATTTCTTCGAGATGGTCTTGATCTTCTCGCAGGAATTGTCGCCCTTCTTCAGGTTCAGCTCGCGGGACCGTGTGTTGGTTTTCGAGTCGCATTCCGACCATTGACCCTTCACGTATCTGCACGACGCGTTGTTGCCGGATGCTACGTCAACAGATGCAAAACGTTGATAGAGATAATTGGAGGCACGGCTCTCGCGCGGACGGAGGAATTTCTGCGACAGCCTACGAGCTCCTTAATATACATATATGTTTGTTACAGCATCGGTGAAGTCAACAACTTTGCCTAAACTCTTTTCCGGCGCACAGCACGCGCATCTTGGCAGTAAATTACGTGCAACGTCTATCGTCTTTGATTTTGTCGACAGAAATATCTGTCCAAACTATATCGTGTTTGGACTCATTTTAATCAGAAAACTATCAGCAATATGTTAAAAAAAAGATAAGTGTTAAAATGTTAAAATTAAAAAAAGTTATGTCATTGCATTACGAGTTGTCTTCCGGGAATTCGAGTCAAAGGAGCCGCGGCGCGTGCTGCAGCACACGTATTCACCAACACCATCGAACTTTAGCATAGCGAGAAAATCGATGAATTAAAGGGCCGCGAGAAAATCGATAAATTACAGGGCCGTAGCAATATCTCGGCGTCGGGATTGGCATACTCGAGTTACGCCGAGAAGAGAGACATTACTGTAGATAGAAATTAACATTAATAAACATTACTGTAGATATTTACGCCGTTGCGAGGCCATAAATTTACGCTAAAATATTTTTACGAACGCTTCGTTGTCCTCCGACAATTCTCGCGAGGCGTTTTATTACATCGGAAAGATGGAAATCGGCGCGCAAACGTCCCGTCCGTCGATCCGCGATCGCAAAGGGCTCGAATCGGCTTCCGCGGTCGCCGCCGCGAATCGCGGAATTTCATTGTTACAACAACGGGACGCGCGCGGCTCGTAAGCTCTCGTCGACGGCGCAGCGTGCAACTGCGAAGCGCACTTTCATTAAACGCTCCCGATACACACCGCGCACGATCGTTCGATGAACGCCGAATACATGCGATAAATGTATAAATACTGGACGCGACGCGGCGGCGAATTCTCGTTTGATTTCATTATCAGCCCCTCGTCGAAGCCCGGGTGCTCGCGGTAACCGATCCGGTCAATTTTTAATAAAGCGTCGGTCAATTATGAAACCTTGAATAATTTATACCCGTATTTCGATGGCCGGAATTCCCGACAAATATTTCATTCCTTCGTTTTTCTCCAGTTCCTGCGAACGCTTTCCATTAAATGGGACCGTCGGCTATCGAAGACACCTTCCAATTCTCTCTCTCTCTCTCTTGTTTTCCTACACGCAGTTTTTCCTCGGTAGCGTGTCGGCGTTGCACAGTGGGCCGGATCGAAGATTTTAGCGACTTTTTGACGAAAACCTAATTTTCTCGTATCGATGTCCAGTCAATTTTTATCGCTTGTTAAATGTCCATTACCCTCGAAAGTGGTAATATTAATAAAAATGATCGTAAATTGTTCAGATACGACGATTTAAAGTTGAACATTTTGGACGCTACATTGGACGCCAAAAAATATGCTTCTTTTCCTCGCAATGTCCCAACGAACCTAATTAATTTTTTCCTTTGCTTTCTATTTTAACATTAGGTGGCAATATTTCTCGTTAGGAAACAGTAGCTTAAATCAAGATTATCGTATCATATATATGAAAAATATAATATTCAATAAAATACAAAAAGTGTAAAAATTCTTTACGTTGGATACCCAAGGACTCACGGTTTCGGACAAACGGTATATTTTCAGGATACTTTCCTCTACATAATTCTGTAAAAGTTACATACCAAGACGAATCAAATTGTAAATTATTACGTTTTAAAGATATCAACGTCACGTTACTTCGACGTCACGTTACAGTCGGTATTACAGAACGCTTCTTCGTCTGTAAATCGACGGATATTTAAAATTTTTAATTATTCCATACTAAAAATATACGAAAAATATAAGTAAACGAAACAAACTTTGTAACATTATATTTAAATAATTTTTGTTTTCACAAAAAATGTCAATGAAAATTAATTAAAAATTATTGTTTAACACGTCGCCGCAAATGACGGCTATAGCCGTCCGATCTTTGGCGATATGTAGGCAATCGACGGCTATAGCCATCGTGCACATTTTAATCAATAAAAAAAAGAACAGCGTTAGTACGAAGTGTACTAACACTTGTTAAACCTAAGGTATAGCAAATGTGATAATTTTCACTTCCAAACATATAACTTAAACTCGATTTCATGTGACAGTCATAAACAATTGAAAAAAATGTGTTTCTGAGCACGATCGTCAAATTAAAAGTGTGCGGTAACGTGTTAACAAATGCAAAAAAAATTTAATTATCTAGAGCTGAAAATAACTATTTTTTAAATATTTTTGGTGAAAATTTCATTGCGATATCTTCGATGGTTCAAAAGTTATAACAGAATGTCACCGAATTTCTCGATCCAGCCCACTGTGCGTTGGTACGCCGGAGACAGCGGAGCCGAAGAAGGAGAGGGGAGACGCTACGGCGGAAAAGCCGCGTAACTTGAACCGCGAGAGCTCCTTTCCAGACCGCGACCGAAGGAAACGTTGCCGTTTGCTCCGCGACTCGCAGGATTTTTAAGCGATCGGTCCGGAAAATAGTCTCATTGTCGGCGGACGAAACTGCACCGGTGGCCGTAATTCACGCGTCGCTGCCGATTCTCCCGCCCCCTTGCCCCGTCGCCCTTGCCTCTCTCGTCTCCCGTCGCTTCAGCAGCTTTCCCGGAGGGATCACGGCGGAGATTCGAGTCGCTGCCGATCGGGCGACCATGAGGGAGAATGCAGCCATTTCACGGAAGGAGGAATTCCACTCGATCGCTGCCATTTCGCGCGAACCACGTCGATAAACTTCTCCATTATCAGAGCCGGCGATACAGCCTCTGCGCTTCGTTGCTTCATCGATAACACGACATTTATGGCGTCGATCGGGAGACGAACAAAGAGGGAGAGAGGACGAGGGCGTGTGGGAGAGGGCAAGGGAGAGGGCAAGGATCGAGGGTGGCGTAGAAAACGACGGAGGTGGGGTGGGGTGGGGGGATTGGAGTGTCGTTCCGCGTGCGCCACCCCCTCCGGTACAGATGAAAGGCTCTTTTGTCTCAGCAGCGCGGCTCTTTCTCGTCTTTCGGGGCGTTTCCTCTTCCTCCGCCGCGGCCAGGAGCCGCGAACACAATTCGAATATCATCCGGCGGCGTTTCATTGTCGGCTAAGATTATTTGCCGCTCTTAGAAATTTATTTGGGCCAGGATCGGGCTTCCGGCTCGCGAACGGCGGAGATAGAGCCAGCCTTTCTTCCTTCCGGCGCGGCGTGGCGCGAAGCCTTTCACTCCGCCAACGGCGAAACGGCCGTGGCCGCAGCAGCCTTTCACTCCGCCGACGGCGAAACGGCCGTGGCCACAGCCGCGCCGAAAACAGGAGCCCCGCCGAGCCGCTGAAATTTCGGCTTGGATTCGAACCGGCTCGCGATGCGACACCATTTCTCTCCATATTCTCTCTCTCTCTCTCTCTCTCTCTCTCTCTCTCTCTGCTTCTTTTCTGTCACCCTACCCACCCGTTTCCTCTTTCCGCCTATCCCAGTTTCTTAATCCCCTCACAGCCATTTTCCGGCTACTTTCCAGCGGCCAACTATTCCTGGCAACCGGCTGATAATTATCGAGACGGGTACTTTGCATATTTTTAGCAAGATTGTCCAGCGTTCGATAGACGGTGTTGGGCAAAAGCGTCGGACCCTGATATCTGAATAAAATAATGCCAGCAGTACCGAAGAGGTGAAAGCGTTTCCCACGTTTCAACAACGACGTTTATAAATAATAGAAAGTAAATCGTTGTCCTATCAACGAACGTACAAGCGTGTCGAGCGATCGATTCGCGAGTCCTGCGTATACAACATGTTATATTTCTAGAAACAGTAGGCTTTGGAAACTATTGCATTTATTACTAAACAGTGACGCGCGCAAAATACAATACAAAAGGGCGCTAAAGCAGTGTATAATTCTCGTAACCGTACGCCGAAATCGTAAACCGTGTTCGTTATATTATAATAATAATTATAATAATATTATACTTATAATAATATATTATAATAATATTATAATATTATTATAATTATAATATTATAATATTATACTTATAATATACGTCGACGCACAATTTACGATTCACACTCGCGAATACGATTACGATTTACGAACATGACACTGGTAATATAATATAATATTATAATATTATAATTATAATCGTGAACCGTGATTGTGATTGTGATCGCAGTCGTGTTCGTAAATCGTAATCGTATTCGCGAGCGTGAATCGTAAATTGTGCGTCGACGTTCGTCGCGTTCTGCCTCGTGTTCTCTTTCGAATTTGGCCGTTACGTTCGAGCAGTGCCCAACGACCGCCGATCACCCTTGCAGCGACGCGATGTTTACATCGTGCACTCACGTACACGCGACACGTACGTCGCGCGATAGTCCCCGGGCGATTTCGGAAGACGCTAAAATATCGTTGGCCTTCGATTCCCACATATTTTAAGTTAAATATTCGGTGGAATGAAAGATATGTTAAGTGACAAAGAATCTTTATTATGTGTTATGTTCTCGATGCACGCTTGCAGACTGAGAACGAGAGACGGGGCGAGAGTATCATTTGTTTTAGACAGATTATGGTTTTCTCCTACTATAATCTTGACGATGGTAATAATCGATAGATCGCGACGTTGCTATACATTGGATTCTTAACATTTTACAGTCTGGATATTAACCCTTGGCGCTCCGTTGGCTCCACTATGGAGACATCCGTCATTCGTTCCGTAAATCCGAAGGCTTTGCTGCGGAGCCCAATGTTTTTAGCACAATTACACCGAAGATGCTGTTTTCGTCGACGTTGGCGATTGTTATTCGTAGCGATAACGTGCTTAGCGTGTGCACCATTACGATTAAAACATTTTTTGGCCATTTTTACACTTGGCAACGTAAAACGAATAAAATCGAACGCTTTCGCAAGGACGCGTAATCTTTTCCGCTCGAAATAAGACTTCTTTTATCTCGGGCGCTTTGTTCCAAAAATGTGCCGGAGTTGCTGGTAGCGATATTTTTCAGAAAAACGCTGTTTAACTTTGTTTTAGAACGTCCGAAGAATATTTGTTAATTTTTAATTTAATTTAATTATCGATCGAGCCGATTCCAGCGAAGATCAACGATAAAAAAATTCCGACAAACTCGCGCAAAAGATACTTTTGTTTCGATAATTCCGTATCCAAACGGAATTCAATGGACGATTCGCGATGCTAATTTTATAATAAATCGCGTCAAAGAACACGAGGGATATATTTATTTAAGAATCGCGAAGAATATCGTTAATAGTAAATTTACCCATTTCGACGAGGATGCATTTGCTGCTTGGAAATTTCGGCCACGATTCTCGACGTCGATGCACCGACCTCGCGCAATGTTAAGTAGATACCATTAGGATTAAAACATTTTTTGCCCATTTTTATACTTGACAACATAAAATGAATAAAATCAAACGCTTTCGCAAGGACGCGTAGTCTTTTCCGCTTGAAATAAAACTTCCTTTGCCTCAGGCGCTTAGCTCCAAAAATGTGAGGTAGTTGGTAGGTAGTATAGTATAGTATAGTATAGTAGGTAGTAATGCTGGTAGTACTGCTGGTACTCGAGAAACGCGTGGAGCGCTAAGAGTTAAATTGAAGAAATTGAGGACAAATGAAGCCAAAGTATTAGTTACGCGCGTCGTAAACGTACAAGGATCGACAGTCTGCCGGTGTTATCGATCTTAGGACAGAAAATTGGCCGCGATAATTCGCGATAATTCGCGACAATGGAGCGAGCTTCGACGGAAGGTGTTGCGAGGACGAGTTTAATCGGGCTTCGAGACGGGGATTGGACGGATTCTTAATTAAGCTTGACATCCGTTACCTCGTTCTTTGGTGCCGCGAACGGTTCGCACGAGGACCTCCTTGTCGTCCTCCTCCCAGAGATCGGGTTCCGCCTTGGCGGTGACGATGACCGTCAAAAGGGTGACAGCCAACAGCGTCAGGCTCCACCACAGCTTCATTCTGCGGGAAAAAAAGAAGCCGGCAAAGGCGCCACCGTTAATTTGCTACCCCTTAATTAGAGCAACTTTTAATTACAATTAGACCGCGAACGTTCGCGCGGACTCGCGGCCGGAATAAAACGCGATACGTTATTCGCGGATTCGCGTCCGAAACTGTCCGCGAAACTAACCGAGAAACATTTTTTGCCGCAACACGAACAGCGTTTCTTCGGTCGCATTTCTGTAGTACGATTTCCAGATCCAAAGAGAGAAGACTGAAAATGTTCCGTGCAAAATAAACGCGTAGTCCGTATCGATCGCGAGATGCAGAAAGTCCTAGAGCCACGCGGAGACAACCTTTCGTGGTTTTAATAGCTTTACGGGTTAAAAATACAGTAATGTCTCTCTAACTGACGTTCGGATTGTGCAGAAGAATGAACAATTTGAGAAGAGGAGATACGATTATTCGAGCCACGCGGTTCATTTTTATAGTTACGAATTCTCGACAACTATAAAAATGAGCTACAAGGCTCGAATAATCGTATCTCCTCTTCCCAAATTGTCCATGTTTGTGCGCAATCTGACCGCGAATTAGGGATGAAACACAATAAAAACTGTACAAATAAATTCTCCCGAATTTTCCTTTAGCTTGCACACAAAAATGGACAATTTGCGAAGAGGAGATACAATTATTTGAGTCTTACACCTTGTTTTTGAAATTGTTAACAATCGGCAACTATAAAAATGAGCCGCGAGGCTCGAATAATCATACCTTTTCTCCTCAAATTGTCCATTTTTGTATACAAGTTCAAGAAAAATCGGGGAGAATTTACCGTGTACGGTAATGTCTCTCTAACTGACGCTCGCATTGAAAGAAATTCGTGCGATCCACCGTGCCGCGATGGATCGAATAATCGTATCCCCTCTTCCCAAATTGTCCATTTCTATTTACAAGCTGAAGGAAAATCGGGGAGAATTTACCATACACCGTTGGTAACGAGTATACCAGCACATGGATTACGATAAAAAATTTGCTCTAGCTCTGAACGTGACAAAGAAAACGACTTTTGTATTTTAAATTTCTAAGAAATTTTCTGCGCGCGCGGCTCGATCGCGCTAGAACCCGCCGATTCGAAACGCTAATTTGCTAAACGGAAAATTCGAGGATTTCCTATTAATTTATATGTTGCGTTCGCGAGTCGAACGAGTATGTACTGGCAACCTCGCGGCGAAGTCAACATTTTTACGTGGTACAGTAACGTCTCCCTTACTGACGCTCAGATTGTCCACTTAAAATAGACAATTTGGGAAGAGGAGACACGATTATTCGAGCCTTGCAGCTCGTTTTTATAATCGTTGACAATTCGCGACTATAAAAACGAACCGCAAAGCTGGAATAATCGCGTCTCCTCTTCCCAAATTGTCCATTTCTGTGTACAATCTAAGCGTCAATTAGGGAGATATTACTGTAGTTGTATTATAAACGTAAAAACGTGGATGCATTATCTTCGACACGGGTTGAAATTATTTAAGAACGAACGGACCTCGGCTCTCTTGCAATTAACACAGGAAAGGATCATCGTCCACCGAAGTCCACGTAATTTAAAAAAATAGAAAAGCGCAACATTCGAAACATCACTGTCCGGCATCCGGCTAAACAACAACTAGCGGCCGGGGTTTTTATAAAAAGCCGACATCTCGCCCGCCAATTACCGGGCTCCGAGCGGGGAATGTTTTCATAAAATCAAAGTTCGATGGGCGCGCACGGTGAAAAATCGTTCGGCACTGGCGGCGCCGCGAGCCAGTGGCGCGCGCGCGTGTTTTCCGGTCTCCGTTTCTCATCCCGGTCGTTAAACGAATAAATATAAACTCAAAGGGATATTTCTCGGGTGTTTACCGGGCGTTTATAAACGCCAGCAGGGCCCGGCGACTCGCGGCGGCGGTTGAAAATTTACTGCGCGAGAAAGTTCGTTCTGCCCGTTGTTGGCGTCTCTCGCGGGACACGGGAGACTCGGCCAGGAAAAACTAATATTTTTACAGTTAGATAAATAATCCTCTCGCAGGTGTATCCCTCGCAGCGGCGCGCAATGTCCGCAACTAGGTCGCAGTTTTTTCCCCGCGTAAACTCCGATCGAATCGATCGCCGTGCGACGCGACGCTGCGACGCACCGGCAGCAGCCGCCGCGGCGGCTCTCCTCCCGCGAGCGAGCGAGCGAGCCGTGGAAATTATAATTACAGATTAACAAGGCGACGCATTTTTATTTAAACGCCGCGCTAGAAACTCGCACCGCTTTTTAAACCGTGCGTTCTCGCAGTCAGCGTTCTCGCCTCGTTAGCGGCCGCGACCGCGACCGCGTCCGTGACCGCGGCGGCCGCGGCGACCGCAACTGCATAAATAGCGGCGACCGCAGCCGATTTTCCGATTATTTATACTTTGCCGGCCCGAAAATGTTGCCTCGGCGAACTTGTTAACGCGTTGTCGTCGCGTCGCGGCGACGATTTCACGATTGTCCAAATTTTCTTCCATCGTTTGCGCGGGCGAGGGCACGCTTTCGCGACGGTTCGCTCTCGAATAATTTGAGCAGTTTATTTTGAAAGTGTCATAAGTCACTTTTTCAAAAAAATCGAGTTAATGGTAACACTAATTACAACTGAACGGTATCTTTTCATTTAAAAAAAATTTGCAATCAATAAGTTGAGAACTATTGAGATTTGTTCGAGAGAAGTTTTGCTAATTAACGGTATAACAAACATGTTTATTTTGAAAGTGGCGTAAGTCGCTGTACTCAGGAAATTAATTGCGGGGCTTAGTGTAAAAGAAGTAGAAACGTGTGATAAGGGTGTGTGTTATTTTTAAAAAAGTTGTGATCACTGGACTTATTTTTATAAATGCGAAAGAATAGTGCAGTTTTGTAAATTATATTATAGT